CGCGGAGCGCAGCAAGATACGGCCATCATACAATTGCTACTGAAATATTTAAAGGTCTCAAAGAAACTGTAGCATCGGAGCAGCTACATTTTTGGCTGTCAGGTTTAGAATTAGTTACAAAAGCAGAATGCTGTCTCATGTATGTATTTTCCGTTTTATCTGCTGTCAAGACCATACATTATTTTATTTGTTCTTCTCTATTTTTCTTCTTCTAACATAACAATATATGTGTAAAGGAATAAAACGGAAGGCGAAGATAATACGAATAAAGCTGAGATTGTGGAAAAACTGAATGGCGCGATAGCGCGTTATGCAAGCGCTTGTGCGTCTCTCAAAGCCGCTAGCACTCCATTACGCAGTTTACAATTTCCAAGCGAATATTCAAAATTACGTTGTGAATTCTTACAATCTATTGCACAATTGTTACATTCGTGCATGTAAGTAAAAATACAAGCAAATGTAAAGAAAAAGAAACTGCAGAAATCAAAATTTTAATTTTTAGATCTTTATGTACCGCACCACCACCTGCTATAGCTGTCACAGTTGTCATTGCAACGAAAGATGATCTCCAGAGATACGGACGTGTTACGCATCAGGTATAATTTATATAATTATAATTGTAAAGTGATTTCAATTATAATATTTACCTATTGCTATATATATCTGTGGTTATATGTATACACTTATACAGAGTATTCCATTTTAATGTCCCACCCAATCCCACCAAATAAAATAACTTTTATTTTTGATCTTAGAAAAAAATGTTTCAGGCAAAAGTTGTATGGTTAAGATGATGTCTTTGTATGATTTTGAATACTTGTTTGAAGATCACATGAAGGTTATCTTTAATTTCTTAAATGGTATCTTCTACTTTTTATTGCATATTCTTATTGATCATCTCGAGAGCTTTCCAAAATACTACAATTAAGTTCATTTTCGTTAAGTATTTTTCGAGTTATGAGGCTTACAAATTATAGCACGGCATTAATATGATCCTGAACAACATTCAAGAGGTTTTAGCCATCAGTCGGAGATCTTGAATAATGCTAATTTTTACGTGACCTTCAAGCAAGATTAAACTAATGACACTTATGTCCCCCTCAAAGCCATATGACTTTTGCCCGAAATATTTTTTTCTATAATTAAAAATAAAAAAGTTATTTGGGATGGGACATTAAAATGGGATACCCTGTATACTGATATACTACAGTGTGTATATTATAAATTTTACAGTTAAGAAAATCAGCGCAAGATTTAAAAAATTGTGCGGAAAATTATCAAAAGTTATATCAATCAGCCTTTGATGCTGATCCGGAATCATTGGCGAATATTCGGGCGTATCCTTTTACCAGAAAAATTTTTATTCAATTATCGTATTTATTAAGAATGTTCTTTTGACTATTTACCTTAATTCATCTCTTGCAGATTACAAGAAATATGTCGATTATTAGCAAACAGTCTAGAACGAGTTTGCGGCGGGCCTAGTATTTCTATGTACCAGCAACAGAATGATTCTGTGAATTTTCATTTTGGTGAGTCTGTAGAGATGCGACAGTTGGCTCGCTGTTGCGCCGAGTTGCGTCGTTTAGCACCATCCTGTATAGGTGGCGAAAGCAAGAATGGAGCAATTAGTCATTTGAGAGTTAGTTGCTTGATGTCGCAAGTGACACTTCTTGCCGGTGGAACGATGAGATTGCCGATTCCGCGGTATTTCTTTCAAACTCTACAGACTACTAGTATTAAGCTGTCTGTATCACCTCAACCACGTGTTCTCGGTGAGCCCGTATCTGTGCCACAAGGCAGCCAATTAGCGCTCAAAGTCGAAGGAGTATTGAGACACGGTCGACGGGCTTCCCTTTTCCGTTCCGTCGCTGCGGTGTGCATTTCTATCTCGACGACGCCGCCTTCGAAAATAAATTCTGATCAAAAGGTAGATAAAGTATCTAAAATTACGATCGCATTAATTATCAAAAATTAAATAGTCTATATTACGCATGTTTATTAAAATGAATATTAAAGATTTATTCGTAAATTATTAATTATTAACAAAGATTAATATGTTAATTATTATATTAGGTGTACAACTTCGCTTCCGCCGTTTTCCTATAGATGGCTTTAGCGGTAAGTGGTAGTCGAAATAAATAGATCATAGACGTCATACAATAAACTTGGGCATCTGTCAACATAACCCCATAGAAACATTAGTTTTGTGTCTGCATCATAAAGTTATTCTCGATTGAAAATGTCAGTTTACGAGCCAAATTCT